ATAAGTAATAATAATCTATAATAATATATCAATATCATAGACAGATAAACCATCTCCGCTCAGAATCGTTTTTCGTATACAATGATATAATATCATTAGATTCAAATTTAATTCCATCCATTGCAGTAACCCACTTGTAACCTACTGTACAGCAGAGCGACATCCACGACTTACCCGCTTTTTTTTCTTTTGATTTTTAAAAATCCAACTTCATCCGAATGTTTTAATTATTTATACCTGAGGAGTTTGGCATCCGTGGACGAAAATCATTGGTGACGTGCATTCGGTTATGTCAAAAAAGAATAAGTACGATTTATCAGACACGTTCTTATTGCGACCACACACTTGACCGTTCGAATCCGACGGTGAAATGAACAGCTCTTGGTCTGAATTTTGATAGGCTGAAAACGGAAAACTTTGTTAATACTGTGAAACGAACGATTCCATTCAACGAAAGTTTCTGTTAAATGAATCATTTTTGAGACAATGACCTTTATTGTTACAAATATGTAATATTATTTAACAAATTCCTCAATTTTACAAATTTTTTTGTTTCTTTCATGTGATTTCATAATGGAAGTTTCATTGTATAAGATCCATAGGTCTTTGTCTAATACACGCGTGACATAGGATTTTACACGTGTTCTTTGCCAAACGCACCGATTGATATAGTGAAGCGATAAAAATTCTGAAACTGATTTGAATTTTCCGTGAAGTCTACTTGAAATTGGTTTTTTTACATTATTGATTTTTTAATTTTAACTTCTTCAAAAATTGAAATATGACAATTTTTTAATTATTCTAATATAAAGTTTTTAGATGAGATAATATTAAACAATTTGGAAGTCCATCTGAAGTAGTCTTGATAAAAAATTTAAAACTGTTTTTAGAACTATTATCGCTTTATAAGGTCAATTGGTACGTTTAGCAAAATACACGTCTAAAATTATAATATAATATGTTGCATGATGTGTGTTAGACATATACCCATAGACATAGACAGAAAATCATGTTATCGAATTCCCTTGATATAATATACTTATTTTTTTTATTCGACAGAGTATGTCATAAAGGCCTACTCTTAAAACTCAAATCTATTCTTTCACCATACTATTTTCTATTATTTAAATCATATTTAGAAAACAGACATTTTGCCATTCGATCTGGCTTCTGTTTATTCGAAGTATCACCAATCCACGCAGGGGTACCTCAAGGATCTGTAACATCACTTCTACTCTTCAATCCATTCACCTCAGATGAACCTACCACCGCCTACACTACAACTGGCGATTTTGCTAATGACAAGGCGTTTCTAGCGATCCCTACCGACCCCGAAATAGCCTCAAACCTCRTACAAAATCATCTCAATCTCTTATCGACCTGGTATAAAGACTGGGGAATAAAAATCAACGAAACAAAATCCATCCACTATACGTTCATACTAAGGTTAATAGTCTGCCCTCCCATCTACCTCMACAATGTAACTCTCCCAACCACCTAAAATGTCTGGTATCTTGGTCTACATCTAGGCCGCAGGTTAACTTGGACAATTCACACCCACAACAAAAGACTTGCCTTAAATAATCGCTTTCGCCAATTAAGTTTTCTCAACACATAAACTTTCAACACATAAACTTAAAAAACAAGCCACTATTATATAAACTCCTTCTCAAACCGATCTGGACATACGGTATCCAATTCTGGGGTGCAGCCAAAAAGTCCAACTTTAACAAAATCCAAGTCAAAATGCCTCCGCCAAATAACTAAACCCCCGTACTATATATCTAACGACACTCTACAGTCTACATAGAAATCTAGCCATTCCAACAGTCCAAAACGTAGCWTAAACTTTTTACAAACGCACACACTCCAAGTTCCACAGCCATCGTAATTCCCTGATTTCCGAGCTATCCACCAACGCTATTCCTGGTGACCCCAGAAAGCGTCTTAAACGTACCTAGTGTCGTGACCTACTCATCTAAAATTGTATATACCTCTACCTCCTCTTAATCTTGTATACTGCGCTCTCTTACTAGCACATTAAAATCAATCCTAGCCTAACATCCTAACCTTAAGTGCCTCCAATGGGTGGCTTCTTATCTCCTGATACTCAAGCCATGTCACTTCCATCCCATACGCTTATTGTAAAATAATATTTACAGATTGTGTATATAATAATATATGATTAAAAAAAAATGATGTATTAATAATATTTTTCTTATATCAATTTATATAGTTTTAGTTTTTAAAATTTCTTCATTTKCCAATTATAGAGAGGTAAGATGTGTTAATACTTAAATGCGATTATAAATGCAGACCATATGTATACAAGACATATTATGTTTATCACGACGTTTTTAAACTTCAAAGTTAAAACCAAACTTCACGTACATAGCTACACAGTGGCTAGCATAAAGTTAATTATAACATAAATTATATAGGTACGTACCATAGCTGGCCAAACCCAACCAGCAGGCTATGAACACGCCGAAACCGAGGAAGCACAAGCAATCCGTACACGATCTTTTCTCAAGTGGTTTTTTTCTGTTTGGACTATAGGAATCTGCACAAAATAACACAATCGCCACATAGAATTAGTCAAAATCGTTAATATATTATAATATTTGATACACATATATATATATATACGTAATTTAATGTGCAATAATCTATGATGTATCGTATATGTATATAGGACCTTAGTCATCTAGATAGCATTAATAAATTAAAGAAAAAAATTRTTAGCAAATCGAACTTTTTTTGCAATCTGTTTGGATAGATTGCAAGCAAAGTATAAAAATATTTAACGAATGTAAAAATTGAGTTGAGATAATTGTATTTTTTGAAAAAAATGTTCTCGTATTCCCCCACCACCTGTTTATTTATTGATTATTTGTTACTGATATAATATGCAGTATCAGAGATATATTATGCCGACTCATATTTAGTTACTAACGCGTAACAATACTTACTTTGATTCATTTTGTTTCTATTTTTTAGCGATCTATCTTTAACTTTTGACTTTCATCGGCATGTTGTTTTCGGAAGCTCTTTGAATTCTTGCCCGTGGTTGTCCTGCAATTACGCATACATATAATGTCGTGTAAAAATGTAAATGGCTTACATTGTAATAGAATTCTTATTGATATAATTGTAGGTACAATATTGCAAAACGATTTTGATATAATATAGGTAGTTATGATATAATGAATAGATTGTGAACAAATTGGCAAAACATTTTTACGGGATTTTTCCCATACGACGACTTGCAGTGCATCAAATTTCCTAACTCGTGCATATTATAATTGTTAATGGCAATCCTTACAGTAATTGAATAGGTATATTAATGTTATTTGAGCACGCATATAGTCTGTCGTTTAATAGTAATTTAAATGAGCGACTGAGATATTTCAATTATCAAGCTGCAGCTATACCGGAGACGATGCACAACAGTGAGTAGGTAAATTTAAAATTATACATGGCCGTGATGACTGTATCTGTACCAGTAGAAATGTGGGAAATAAGAATGATACAAATACGAAGAAAAGGTAAACGCGTGCTTTTACCGGAAATCGTAAGCAAAGACTGTTTTAGCAGCAGCGTTAATAATAAACGATCGGATTTATCGAACAGCTGTTAAAAACTACTTTATACAAAACAGATAGCCGTATGATTAAGATAAGGTTCCGTTCAACTTCAGTGGCATTAATAAATATTAATGTGTACATATTATGTGCGTATGATATTATATTATCTTTATCTAATTAGTATTTTTGTAATAACGTCGGAATAAAATATTATATTCAGGCGAACATTCAACTAACCTCTCTGTTTATTTTATTATATGTAAAAAAAATATTAACGGTCTGATACGCTGACATAGGTAAATGACGATTCATTATCAAAACAGATTTCAAGTTYATAACATTTCACGTGACGGTGGATTCAAATACTATAATTTAATTTACGCATATATAATATATACGTGATAAGTTCATTGCACGTGTAGTACGCTGCACCGCATTAAACAAATGTACGATTATAGTATTGGTATTTTAAACCACTGTAGTCACTGTAGTTAATTGTTATTAGTTTAAGTAGACCATATAGTTTTAGTGTCTATATGACTATTCAGGGSCACACCCAAGATTTTTTTTTTGGTTGGGCTAAATTAAATCGTTTTCAAATATTAATATTACCTATAAATTATATAATATATTTCGAAAATTGGATCTTTCGATTTCTCTAATTATCCAAGCAATTGCTTTTTTCTGGCTTAATAGAATGATCGCCAAATAAAACCAACAATGKTCGTACAATTATAGTAATCTCTGTTACAAGAGACCACCGATCAATGTACACCATGTATGGTTTATATTGTATATGATATCGTTTATAGAAAAACCGTTTCTTAAATTACTGCCGGGAAAACGTTGAGAYTCGAAGACTTTGTAAGATTTATAAAATATTATACACCAGAAGACACCGGCCGCGTGCCAGAACAAAGGGCGTAGTCCAGAAATAGTCAATTTATTCGTTTAATTCTAAAACGGCGATGTTTAACGTGTGCGCTGCGAAACGCGACTCTATTTCGTTAAAGGATTTCATCGGAACGTCTATATATACCTGTCGGTCAAGAATCGAAAACATTTTGGCTATCGACCATTATTCACATTTAGCATCGAGTATTGTCTCACCTCGACGATCCGTCAAGTATAAAAAAAAACTCGTATGGCGCTATTGTCCGGGTGTACTAAACCTAACAAGTATAGGTAGGTATACAATATCATTATATGGTATGCAATTACACTAATATCAACGAACATTACATTTAATGTTATTATAACCAACAGTT